CAAACCGGTGCTGCAGAGGTTGCCGACAGCCTCACAGCGCGGCGCCCATCTGCTGCACCACCGGGGAGGCCCTGTACTGGGTTCTTAAAAAATCTCTTAAGAGGGCCCCCCTGGTGGCGCAGGTGGTTGAGCGCAGGGCTGTGAAGCTGTCCGTAGCCTCTGCAGTGCCGGTTCGATCCCCGTCGGCCACAGAGTAACCCACATGGCACGGCAGACCTCTCCTGTCTTGCCCGCTGCTCCCTCAGCAGTATATTTCGTCAGTCTGCCTGTTCTGCTCCCCGCTCTGGCTCTGGTGAATCCTCTCACCCTTCCGTGCATCTGGCCTGTACCCCTGCTCTTGTATAAATAAAAAATAAATCTTAAAAAAAACTCTTAAGAGGGTGAATCTCCTGGTTAGAGTTTCTGCCACAATAAAAATTATGAAATGTGAAAAAGACTTAAAAAGAGCTCATGAAACAAACATGAACTGTAAACAGGAGGGCAAGGAGACTGGAGGTTTCTGGTCACCAATAACACTCTTCAGTCACTTTGAAAGCCATCTTGGCAGGAGCCATTTGCTCTGAAACAATAAAAGGGCTCACTGAAAATTATTCTTCTCCATCCTTCGAAGAAGGATCTCTGGCATTTTATATGTGGCAAAACCAGAATCCATTCCACTAAGATCTATTTGGCTCTCTGTGTAGCAGGTGTGTGTTATGGACCAAGAGTAGAACAAGAAGAGCTGCTGCTTTGCTCGCAAGGCAGTGAAGCAAAGGGAGTAGGCACAGAGACCCGGATTCCAGTGTTGACTGCTGCCCACTGGCTGTGTGGCAAGCGGCCTAAACTCTCTGTTCTCTGGAAAATAGGGGTTATGATATTTAGGGTGCTGTCCAGCTTAAAAGGGAAAAGAATGCAAGAGGTGCTTTGGCCTACGTGCTGCTGTCGTCCCTTAATACTGCTCTAAAGCCAAGGGAAGCGTGGCTGGCAGGGACAGAGAACGCGGTTTTATTGGGGAGTAATCAATGAGTGTGGCGGGAGGTGGGCGGGGGAACTTCCCCGAGGAGGTGACTTGAATTGGGTCTGGCAGGACATGTTAGGGCCAGAAAGAGAGAAACTCTTTTCCAAGGATGGAGTCCCAGGTTTCAAGCTTGAGTAACAGAGGACCGTAACTCAACTAGGTCAGAGTGTGAAGGAAAAGCCTGGAAGAGGGCAGGGCAGCTCTCACACAGCTGAGTGCCCTCCAGTCTGAAGGTGCTTAGGGACTAAGGCCTCCCTCAGTCTTAAAGGGTCATGGGGGTTGAGTGAGCCCCGGGTCTGGTGAAGGTGGCTTCTGCACAGATACCTTTAGACTGGGTCATGCTGGGCCAATTTTGTATCTTCCTCTTAGGTTTATTCTAAATGAGACTCTTCATACCAGGATGACCCGTGGATTTGTGATTGACTCAGGGCAGTGAGGAACGACATGCAGGGGAACCCTTGGGAGAGCTGCTGAGGCAGAGAAAGGAACATGGCGCCACTGTGAGAAAAGGCATCGAGTGAGTTCTGGGCGTGGTAGGGTGGGGGGAGCCTTCTCCCTGGCCCTAGGGAGGCAGAATTGGATGGGTCTGGTCCACATAAGAATATGGACTGAGCTGGAGGGCTTAGGGGTGCAGCTCCCCTTGCTGGAAAGGCTTGAGGCATGATCTGGATGTGTGTAATGGGCAGATGGAAAGGCCAGCCTGAGGACTGGTCCTGGAACTGGAGGACCCAGGGCTGAGTGGGCCTTGCAGATTTGGGATCAGCCATCTGAATGACCTTAGGGGAAAAGCCTAAACTTTTCCAGCATAGAGGGAGACAACAGCAGTGTCTTTGGCTTCTAGAAACTTCTGATGCTCGCTCACCCTGCTTTGAGGACATCAGTCAGACCTGGGTGTGAGTGTGCGTGCGATAAGGCAGGGGAGGTAGCAACTGACTCTGCGAATTCAGGGTTTGCCAGGGAGCTGGGAAAGGCAGTCTGTCCAAAGGCATTCATAAGATCCCTAGGGCACAATGTCTTTTCTGAAGGTCTTGTTTAGAGAAGCCGAGTTCTCTGTTGGGAAGAGCCTTGGATCCAGAGGTCAAGAACTCCAGGCTCTGGTATGGACCAGTCATATGTCCCTGGGCAGGCGACTCAGCCCTTGTGCCCCTTTAAGATTGGGTGTGTGCCCAGGCCTAAGTCAGACTGGAGGGCACCCAGCTCTCTGAGAGCCGCCTTGCCCTAGAACGAGTCCCCTGGGCATTTCCTTCCACATTCTGACCTAGTTGCCCTAGCGCTCTTAGCACCCTCTCCACACCACACTGTCCTCCCTAAGCTCTTCAGAGTGAGCTATGTGGTCTCCTTTTGCAGATGAGGATGCAAGCTTCAGAGAAGGTGAACCCTCCCCCATGACAGTCCAGCGACAAAGTGGCAGAGGCAGGATTTGAACCCAGGCAGCTGCCCAGCTTCAGGCTTGAGGCTCTTGAACCACCTTACTGGGCGGCCTCAAGAAATCTGGAGCATGGGGCTTTGGTTTCTTCTTTTAGTATCTGGTAGAAACCACAGCTGGTTATTTACTCTTCAAGTTTTCTATGCACACGCCAGGGTCTTTGTTTGTGAAGACATCTTAAAAAGTTGAACGCACCTGAGAAGAGTAATTTAGGGGACGTTCTCCATTCCTTGCTGTGCAGACCTCGTGGCACCTTCCGGATCTCACACCAGAAAGTTCGCGCTACCTCAGGTGGTGTCAGAAGTGTCCCGGCAGCCAGGGCCAGCGCTCGGCCACAGCCCTGCTTCCTGCTTGGGGAGCAGGTGACGGCAACACCAGGAGGTGCCCAGATCACACAGGGGGGATGTGTGGGGGCAATCCAGGTCACTGCCCTAGAACAGCAATGCTCCCTGTCTCCAGCTGGGGTGTCAGGGCACAGGGCAACTCAGCGAGGGATGGGAGGGCCCCAAGAGACCACTGGGGCCAGCCCCTGCCTCTGGGGGCTGCCTTCAAATCATCCCAGTGGGATACTTAAGGCAAAGCCAAGGCCCCTCTTCAGGCTGTGTTCTGAGCTCAAGACACTTTGACAGTGAGATAAAGTTGGGAGAGGCCATTGTCAGGCCTAGTCAGGCCTAGGAGACAGGGCTGACTGACATCCCGTGCTTTTGTTAAGAAACATGACTTGGCCTTTCTTGCTCCCTGGCTTTCTGGGCACCTGCTCATGTTGGGGGCATGTCCCACTTAAGGCAGGAAGATGGTGGCCACAAAGAGAAGAAAAAGTCATTGGGTCATCAACTCTAGGTTCCAGCTTATGAAAAGTGTGAGGGGCATGCTGCGGTACAGGCAGACTCTGCAGATGATCAGACAAAGCCAAGCAAAGCAGGTCATCTTCACCAACAACTGCCCAGTCTTGAGAAAATCTGAAACAGAGGGCTAGGCCATGCTGACCAAGATGGTGTCCGTCACCACAGTGGCTATGATGCTGAAGTGGGCCCAGCGCATGGACGTAGCAGAGCACGCACCCCGCCATTGGTGGCCCGGCTGAGCATGATATCATTAGAAGCTCACCCAAACAGACTGGTGAAAAGCAAATCCTGCAACATTTTCCTTTAATAAAACAAACAAGCGAATCGAAAGAAACACAGCTCAGCGCCAGCAGTGCAAGGCTTACGGGTGTGTAAAGTGCCAAGGAGGCCCTCTATTCTGGCCCTTGCTGGAACAAGCAGGCTTTCCTATATAGCAATGCTTCAAAACCATTGACAGACACCCCTCCCTCCTCTTAAATTGCTCTAGTGTCTCTGTGTTTCAAAAACACAACAATGTTGCTTGACCCCATAACTCCCCTTTAGCTGACAAGTTCCCTTTTAAAGAAAGGCTAAGACTTGTCCAGACTCAGACCTTCTTCTCTACCAACTCCCCACATGACCCAACATGGCCACTGTGTTCACTGCCCCTGACAGCACAGACCTTTGGCCTTGTCCCGGGATGGTGGCTGGAGGGGACAGTACGTGTGAAGTGTACCCCCCCACCCTCAAGGAGCACTGATGTTTCTTTCCTGTCCTAGGGTCTGTTCTGACCCATGCCCCCCTAGCTTGCCTCCTGGCCACCCCTCCTTTGCCTCTTTGCTGGCTCCTGGCCTCCGCTGCATCTACACCCTCTTTGCACAAGACCCTGTTGGGTCTCAGTCTGACCTACAAGCTTCACATACCGCTCAATCCCATCTTCACACTGACCTCGTCCAGATCTTCAGACATTCCTACCTGAGCAACCTCAGGACAGCTCCCCACGGATGGCCAATAGGCCCCTAAGACTCTGACACCTGGTTTTCATCCCCACTGTGTCTGTCTCTCTTCCAGCTTCCCCCCTTCCAGAAAACGGGGCCACCGGGCTCTGTAAGAAAGGAGTCCTCTCTTCTCTGTAGGGCACCTCAGCTGGTCCTGCTGGTTCTAACTCAGAGATATAACTGGAAGGCAAACAGGTCTCTCCCTCATCACTCTCATGACTGTGCCCTGAGCCACCAACCTCCCACTGGGTGACACTAGCAGCCCCCAAAGAGCCCCCAGCTGCCACATTTGCCCTTCGGGTTCAACCCCTAGAGGGCGTGGGGAACAGCCAGGGCCACCTTCTAAAGTGGGCTGTATTATCTTGTGGGGCAAGGACCCCACTGAGTTCTTACTCCCCAAAAGTTTCTTGTTTATTCTAATTTGTTTCTTTTTCAGATGAAAATTTGAAGGAAAACTTTAAAGAGTAAATACTTTGATGGTAAACCAGTCTGATCAACCACCCATTCATTCAAACAATACCCAGGGTGGGCCTGCCCTCGGAGGGCAGCATCCTAGTGAGCAACGACTTAAGTCTTAAGTTAACAATAATCCCCCCTGGGGTGAGGAGTTATTTCCCTGCATGTTAACTCAAGAAATAAAAACCTGGCTTCAGAGAACAGAAGCACCCGAGTGGGTCCCTCCCTGCCAAGGTTGGAGCGTGTTGGTGGCACAGCCCTGTCGCTCCTGCCACGCCTGGCTGCGACGCCCCTCTTACCTCCCTGAGGCAGGTGTAGATGGGGCAGACCAGCACGCGGAAGGGCTCGCCCGTGCTGCTGCGCATGGCGCCGAACACCTCGCACAGGAAGGTGATGAAGCCCAGCCAGCGCTCCACGTCCTGCTGCTGCAGCTCCTCCCGCACCGTGAAGTCCTTCTGTGGGGGCACAAGACACAGTGTCAGGCTGGCCGGGCGGGGAGGGGCCGGACACCCCCTGCTCTGCCATGGCACCCACTAAGTGTGGGTCTTGGGTAACTGGTAACCTTCATATTCTCAATGAGGAGAGGGCGGGTGACCGTGGCTGAAGCGTGGATGCCAGGGACTCAACAGGGCCACATGCCACTGTACCTTCTCTTCTGCGTTCCCAGATGTGGGCCCCCAGACTGGCCTCACTGACCCCGATATATAAGGTGGGTGCAAAGAGGTGAAGGGAGATGGCACCTCTCCCAGTGTCATCACCTCCCCCATTCGACTCCCTGTGGATGAATTACTTTTTTTTTTTAATCCCCAAATGCTGGCCTCGATGAGCTCCACTACATTGGCCACAAATGCTAGTAATTGGTGGCGGAAGCCCACGTAGGTTCCAGCACCAGGCTAGAGACATAGTTACAGCTGTCTGCAAGGAGCCTAGAGAACAGGAAAATTAGAGGCATTCATTCATTCATTCATTCATTCATCCTCCTTACTGTCCCACTGTGTGCCAGGCCCTGCACTAAGGGCTAGGATAAGGCACGTTCGTGCATAGCAATGATACAAGAGAGAAGGGATTAAAAGCTCTTGGGGGCTTCCAGGTAAAGGGACTTGGGGAACCCAGAGGTGAGTGTTATTACTTTCAACTGGAAATCAGGGCTTGGAAAGAGTTAGGACTGTGCTGTGGGTGTCTGGGGCAGGGGTGTTTCAGGTGGAGAAAAGACAACTTGGGTGAAGGCACAGGCAGGATAGTGTGGGGGTCTGGAAAACAGACAGGTATAACCCAGCATAGGTGCAGTGAAGGAGGAAAACAGAAGGCTGGAGAAGGGAGAGTGGGGCTAGTGTACTGACACCTGTCAAGGAAGGGGGTGGGTGATGGGCACAGCAAGGTGGTGAGGTCATAGAACTGGAAAACTCAAAGATGGGTCCAAGATTCTGGGTGATGTGCCACCAAAAGAAAGAACATGGGAGGGGACTGTGCACAGAAAGGGGCTCAGGTCATCCCATAGTCCAGTACCTCTCCCTACGCTAATTTTTGCTGAGCATTTTCATCGTGCCAGAATCTCTGAATCCCTAGAGATGCCTTGGTTAATACCTGTCCCTTGCGTGTGATCAAAGTGCTATCTAGCAATCTAAAAGGACAGAGGGGCCTCAGCTTCCTCAGCTGCAAAGTTGGGGGTTGGATGAGAAGACCTCTATGAGAAACCCCTCCAGTTCCAGCTTCTAATAAGCTTGAGCCTGGGTCACCGCTTGTAACTACAAGGGTCTCATCAACTTAAAGAGTGTGTGTGTAAAACAGCAGCAGTTACTACGCCAGACAGTGAGCCGAGCACCTTAACTGTAATATTTGATTGTCACATGATTCTATGAGGCAGGTCCCATGATTGACCCATTTTATAGATTCTTCAACTGCGGTTAAAGTAGTTACCCACTTGTCTATGGCTATGTGGCAACAGCAGGGCTGGGATTTGAACCTGGGTCTGCCCACTCTGAGACCAAGATTCCCCTACTCCTCCTTTTTTCAATGATGTTTTTAAATTGGAAAAGTAGCACATCAAAGCCCAGGCTCTTAGTCACTTTCCAAGTCAGAACTTTCCACTAAATCACTTGTCCAGACTGTTCCCTGGAGTCCACTCTTGCTCACAGATCTCACGGGCCTCAGGCTGACCCTCAGGCTTCCTCATTCCCCACTCACTTCCTACTGAAATGTCTACCTGTGCATCACTGTGGTTTGCTTGTGCATGGGGTTAGGTGTGTCTCCCACACTAATGTCTGAGTCAAGGCAGGGCCCCTGGAAGTATCTCCTGGGTTTAGCTAAGTTCTCCAAACGTAGTGGCTCTATACAGCTCCTGGAGCAGATGGCCCCCACAGCAGCTGCCCTGTGCCGGTCGGTGAACCTGTGAATGAATGAATGTCTTTGCCTGCCGCCCCAGAATCTGCAAAGGACCTGGACTGCTGGCCTTGAAATCATGCATTTTCTGGTGGTTCTACCCTTTTTAACCTTTTTTTTATCCCCCTATATCCTTATGTGGTCAGAGCAGGGGCAAGCATAGCCATTCTCATTCTAGAAGGGGGAAACTGAGGCAAAAAGATGAAAAGATTTGACCCAGGTCACCCTGGTACTAGAACTTGAATGAGACCCTAAACCCCTCTAATGGCCCTGCTCGGGGCTAAAGGCTCTCAGCCCTGGTAGCACACTGGAGGCACCTGGAAGAACCTGGAAACCACTGTTGCTTGCACTCCAGCACTGAAAGACTGGTGGGGCTGGGATTCTGGTCATTTTGAAAGCTCCCAGGTGAATCCCCAGTGGGGCACCATGGTCGAGAACCCCCACACCAGCCTTTATTAAGACTGGGAGGCTGTGTCCTCAGGCAAAGTCCTCCGGGGGTAGGAGGAAGTTCCAGGCAGTGCAAACCAAGGAAGAGAATTTAAAAAGATGATTACATCTATTCAAAGAACTGTACTCAACTCAGATCTCTCCTGATAATTGGCATTGAGAGAGGACTCTGTTTTGGGCTAGCAAAATTCACTAGAAGGCTGAGCTAAATATTGCAATATTGGCTGCCAAATATTGGAAATTGAACTTGGAATGTGCACATGAAGGCACCCACCCGTGTGAGGTCTGAGAAGGAGATTGTGATTACCTCAGCAGACGCCACACGATTCCAAGGGTGACCCACATGGCTGACACCAAAACCATACAGAACCTTCTTTTCTCAAAGGTAGAAAAAGCTATATGGCGTCGATGGAAAAATCATGCAGGGTTGAAAAGGGGAGCATTAACTGGTAGGCCCAACAGAAATGTGTTACTCTGCAAACGTTAACTAGACTAAACCAGAAATAAATAAAAAACCCAAGTACAAAACATGGGCTTTTATGTCTGAGAGAAGAACAACATGGAAGCTGTGGCATGTAGAAAGGCATGAGAAAGGGAGGATCCTGATGAGGAATGTAGGAAAACCCAACAAAGGGTCAGGAAAAGACAAAATTTACAGGGCGACCATGATCTGAGGCAAAAACAACAAAGGGGTGGGGGGAAGGAGAGTCAAAAGAGCATGAGGAAGGGCACAAAAGATGTTGGTGATGGGTCATAGGGGCTACGGTGGTAGGAGAAGTAGGAGGGCTACACCTGAGGGGGGAATAATGAGGTAGGAAAATAAATTACCAATAAAAAAGCCCTTTGGCTGATATGAAGTATGACTGGGAGCAAGAGAAAAGTCAGTGGAAATTAAACACCAACAGCAAAATGAAAATGCGAATTGGAGGCAGTAAGGGACAGAAGGAATAGTGCAGGAAAAGGAATTCATAAGACAAGCTTGGAAAATGATGAGAAAGCTGAAGACAAAAAGAGACGAAGAAAGAAGAAAATGACAGCAACGATGAAAGTGAACATCTAACTGAGGAGCTGTGCAGGTTTTCAAAAAGGTTCAGAATTCATGGAACAAAGAGACCAGAGAGGAAAAACTTTAAGTTGAAAACAAACAAATAAACAAAACCAAACAAAAGAGAACTGACTCTTCAAGTTGAAAAGGGTTCACAGTGTTCCCACCATTTATGCTTAGCAGGAAATTTTTTTTTTTTAATTTGACGGAAAAGGAAAAATTCTAAAAACAGCTATAAGGGAAAAAACGCTGGGCCTCTTACAAGGGAAGTAAAATAGGGTTGGTCTTATACTTCTGTATTTGATAAAATTCAGAGACATCGAGGCGACATCTTAATATGTTCGGGGGGAAAAAGAACACACCCAGCTATGAGTGACAGCAGGAGAAAGACATTTTACATAAGCAAATGTTTTTAAAAATCCCACCTACATGCTTATCTTTTAAAAAATTAAATGGTACAGCTGCCATGGAAAAACAGTATGGTGATTCCTCAAAAAATTAAAAATAGAATTACCATATGATTCAACATTTCTACTTCTGGGTATGGAGCCAAAAAATTGAAGGCAGCATTTTGAAGAGATCTGTACACTTGTATCACAGCAGCACGATTCAGAAAAGCCAAGAGATGGGAGCAACCCAAGTTACTCCACTGATGGATGAATGGACAAACAAAATGCCGTCCATACATGCAATGCAATAGCATTTAGTCTTAACAAGGGAGGAGATTCTGACACATGCCACTGCATGAATGAACCACAAGGACACTTTCCCCTACACTAAGGGAAATATGCCAGTCACAGAAAGACAAATATTCTCTGGTTCCACTTATATGAGTAGCTACGGTGTCAAATTCAGAGATAGAAAGTAGAATGGTGATTGCCACAGGCTGGGGAGAGAGGGAAATGAGTTGTTTTAATGGGCTACAGTTTCAGTTTTGCAGGATGAAAAAGTTTTGGAAACTGGTTGCATAATTATGAGATTATATTTAACATGACTGGACTAGACACATTGAAATGGTTGGGATGGTACCTTTCATGTTATGTATTTTTTTTTAATCACAATTGAAAGTAAATAAAAATTATTTAAATTTTATTTTTATATTCCCCATAAAATTACAACCCCCTTATTTTGACCCCAATCCCACCCCCCATAGAGTGTCTCTGGTTCATAGTTGTTTGTTGATTTTGATATTTTCTTTCTTATAGTTATTCTTTTTCCTGGTCCCTTATTTAAGTTTTCTAGATTCCTGCTATGAGTGAGACCATCCAGTATTTTTCTTTTTCTTTCTGGCTTATTTTGCTGAGCATGATCCCTTCCAGCTCCATCCATGTTGAATTAAAAACTTGCTCAAATGTATGTCCCAGTCAACAAAATGTATTACTCAACTCTGAAGAAATCACACTGCAAACGGAACAAAAGTGAAAACTGAAACCAGGTGGCTTTAGGCGGCTAAATCAAAATAAGTAATTACAATTTTGGTTATAAGATTCAGTCAAAAGTCAGAAATAATCCTTCCAAGAGAAGATATTTCATTTCATTTCATTTCATTTATTTATTTATTTATAAAAAAAGAGATCTATCTAT